TTTTTTTTTTTTTTCTTTTCCTTTCCCTTTTTTGCAGGAGCACTCTCAGGTTGTGAGGAGAGAGTATGAAGGTGCTAGAGAATTCTGTTGTCCTTGGAACCCCTCCCCAGGCCATGGAAGAAAGGACCTGAGGATCCTAGCTCCTGGGAAAAGGAGGGCTGGGAGCTGTGAGGGAAAAATGGCTCCTGAAAAGGGATAAAAATTGGGGCAAGAAGGGACACCCCCCCAGCCCCCAGCTCTGCCCACCTGTCCAGGGTTCAGCCTCTTTCTGGAAGTTGGACCTGAAGTCAGGAAGAAGGGTAGCTAGTGCTGCCTTGCAGTGGTCTGCTTGGCCACAAAAACTACTTGGTCAAAAGCCTGAGCACACAGCCAGAGTTGCCAGCCAGGCTCTGTCCATTTGTGTGTGAGAGTGTGTCTAACCTTTGCTTCATACAGAGAAGACAGACCTAGTCACCCTTCAGAAGGCCCCAAGCCTTGTCACACTGACTCTCCATTAAGTAGTTCCCTCACCCTCCTTCAGGGACTGGGTCTCTTTTCAGCCCCTAAAACCCTATTGTGAATACGGGAGTGGGGCTTTCACCAGTCAGTGCTGAGGGGCTGTGAGACTTTGGGAGGAGGGGCAGACTTTACTGATCCCTCCATCCCCCATTCCAGGCCCCTCTGAGAAGGGACATCTGTGCTGGGAGTCAGGATTACCTGGATGTGTAATATGGGCTAGGGGTTTCCCTTTTCCGTTTTCCACTCTGTTGTCAAGGGATTTCCCCTGGATACCATACCATCAGTCCCTCCTGGAGTTGAGGGTGGCCTCAAGCCGAGGTTGCCCCAGGAGTGGGAGGTCCCCATGGCAGTCACCACCAGGCAACTCTTGGCCTTGTTAAACTCGCCTTTAGTACTACTCCCATTCAATGCCAGGGAGATGTGATTGTCCCATTTTCTAAAGGAGTAAAGTGGCGCTTAGAGCGATTGAAACTGCACACGTTGTCAGGGAACCCAGGAACTCACTGCCCGAGTCTTCCCTGCCCTGATCCCTGCCCCTGCGCCCATCCCACCCCAATTCTCAGAGGAGGGAACCAAAGGGGTAGGAGCTGGGGAAGCCATGACTGCCAGTAACCCCAGCGAAAGCTGGTGCCGAGCGGGTTAAGGGCTGGTGCCCAGGAGTAACCCCGGCCCCATTCATAGCCGCTGGGTGAAACCCGAGCTCCGCCGCCGTCGGTGGGCGGGGTCCATAGTGAGGCAGTAGCGAGGCGCTGATTGGCCGTGTGCACTCACCCCATGCGCGGGCCCGTGACTCGGGGGCGTGGCTCGGGCAGGGTCCGCGGGCTTTAAAAGCCTTGGGCACTGTGACAGGTGGAGTCTGCACTGTGCGAGCTCCGGGTCGGGGACGGGCGGGCAGGGCCAACCGCCTGGATGCCCCGAGGGGGCGCGGGCTGGGCCGCGGAGCCATGGACTGCACGTTTGAAGGTATTTCTTTGAGGACCCCCCCCTTTGTTACAGTTCTCCATCTTTGCTACGGTTCCCACGGTGGGGCTAAGGAGCTCCAAGTAGGAAAGAGCCCCTGGAGGGAAGGAGTACCAGACCCTCTCTGGGGAGGCTTGTGGATCCTCCGCCAATCTCATCAGTTCTCTCCCTGCCCTATGGAAAGGGTTTGTATAGAGCCCCAGTGCAGCACTGGGGTCTTGGAGGGTGAGGGTGGCTTTCTCCCCATACTCTGCTCTCCCTGGTGGGGGTAAGGGGACAGGGAGCCTGAGGCAGCAGGGAGGAGAGGAGCTGGTTGTACTTCTGTGTGTCTAGGGGTCGGACCTGTTTGGTGGCCCTTGCTTTTAGAATCTCAAACCCCTTGGTTCCCATTCCTGGGTTCAGTTTTTCTTTCAGGCCCTCAGTTTCTCTTTCCATTTCCACAGGGGCTCTTGTGAACTGGTGGGGCTGGGCTTGCATGGACTGAGTGGAAAATTCTGTGGTTGGAAGTACTGTTGACTTGTAATCTTGGAGGGCTGTGAAGGGTTTTTATGTGATGACCCCAGGGAGGCTGAGCCTGGCAGCCTCCTTGAGCTCCACTAAGGCTTTAGGGATCCTTCCTGCCAAGACACCCATTAGAGGGAAGGAATTGGGTAACACAGAACACCCACTGTGAGCAGATGCCCTTAGTGCAGAGCAGTTGCCCAGAAGGGTCTGATCTTTTACATTTTACAGACAGAGGAAACAGGCTCAGTGAGAAGTGGTAATTGGCTTCAGCTCCCCCTCTAGCTAGGGGTGGGTAGGGTTGGAAGCCCATGCTGGGGACCTTGGGGGCTGAGGAGGAACTCCCAGGTTGTCCTCATGAGCCCTGCAGAGAGCCCTCTGACCCAGTGGGTGGGTGTCCTGAGTGGGTTAGAGGGACTCGGGCTGAGCCTGCCAGGCTGCTGGCTGCCAGTTAGGCGAGAGGACTGTGGCCAGGCTAGGGGAGGGGGAGGGGTCCCAGGCTGTACCAGGAGGAAGGAAGGACAGATTGTGCTACCTTTGACCGGGGAGACCAAAACCTTGAATAGTCAAGCCTGGTCCTGCAGAGCTTGTGCTTGTGCCTGGAGCATATGGAGACACTCTGGTTGGCTGTATGACCAGCAGCTGGTTTGGCCCTGAGCCTCAGGCTATTCCACGGAGTAATGGGTTAGTTACAGTAGCTTTGCCCCTGGCTTCCTGGGGTGTGGGGAGGAGGGGTACAGAGACAAAAGGCTTGGCGTTTTGTACACTGGGCTGAATCTCTTGTAAGTTCTAGTTCCTTGTGGCCAGCAGCTGGGGCATAGGGTCAGGTGGGGTCTTTGCGTCTGAAAGTCACTCTCTGCTGCTCAGTTTCCTCATTGTAGAGGAGGCCAGTGGTCATACTGCTTTCCTAGAGCATAGTGTCAGAAGGATGACGGCCCAGCTGGGGCCTCCATCTCTAAGTCTCATCTGTAAAGTGGGCAGAATCATGTCCCATTTTACATGTTCTTATCTTTGTCAGACCCGTCATGCTGGAAAGCAGGAAGTATTCTAGTTTTGAGGTGGGATCCTTTTGGAGGAACTGCCCTGCTATCATTCTTCTTTGGGGATCCCATGCTGCCGTAGGAGGAGTGGGGCACAGACCCCATAGTGTGGTGGTCATGGAGGATCCCACCACCTCACAGGGCCTTTAGCCATTCTGCCTTTCACTGGGCCTCCCCTCACCCCAAACTGAGGGCTCATCCACTTCTCAGCAATCTCTGAGTTCCCCTCTCAAATTCTGTGCCCACCTTTGAAGGTGGCCTTGAAGGAAAGAAGAGGAGTGGCCAGTGGTGGGGTGTGGGCCTGGCATACCTGTCTGAAGAGCCTCTGTCTCATCCGCCCTCTGGCCTACCTTGGGCTGAGGTGGAAGCTGCCTGGCCAGGGCATTCCCTGCCATCAGCCCTTGTCTGTACTTCTCCTCTTGTCCAAAGATTAGATGTGCTGCATCTGTGAAGCCTGCTTCTGTTTCAGAGTGAGAAACTTAAGACCTCAAGTGCTATGCCTGGGCCTCTGGACTCCCTTTATCCTGGACTGGGTGGATATGTTCCTTCACCGAGCTGTTACTGGGGTAGGGGTAGTGATAGAGTGTGGAGTGTGCAGGAGAGGCTGACTGGAAGGGCTTGTCACCTCCTGGACAAGGCTGGTTTGGAGCCCACAGGGCGAGACCTCTATGAGTATGTATGTATAAGGACTCAGAGGTAGATATTCTCTAGAGTATGTTCTCCATGAGGGTAGGAGGAAAAATTCACCACTGTCCATATCATCTCCAGCTTTCCAGAAAGTTTGCTGGTTCTGAGTAGGGAATTTTTCCTGTCCTATTCACAGCCTGGAACAGCATGTTGGCACTTGGTAGATGATTCTGGTTGAATGAATGAATATTTGTGTGCTGTGGAGCAGTGTCCAAATACAAGGGTGTTAAGAGCTCAGACTCTTAAACTGGCAGTGCCTTAGCCCTGTCCCACCCTAGCGACAGGGCAGGTTAAGGAGCTTCCTTCAATTGTTACAAGGGTTTTTGGATGCACCTGTAACACCGGGCATCACCCAGGTGCCCAGGAAATAGTTGTGGTCCAGAAACGTGGGCTTGTTCATATGATGGTCTTTCGTCTGGTGGCGATGCCCACATGTGTGAGCTGTATGTAAAGAGCATGCATATATATTTGTGTATGAAAGTGTGTGATGCTTTCATGTTGCTGGCTCATATACCTTTCCTCCTTCCACAGACATGCTTCAGCTCATCAACAACCAGGAAAGCGACTTCCCGGGCCTTTTCGACACCCCGTATGCTGGGGGCGGGACAGGGAGCACAGAGCCAGCCAGCCTCGATGTCAGCTCCCCAGGCAGCTTGTCACCACCTCCTGCCATGCTGGGCTCCCACCTCGAAGGCCTCCTGGGGAGCTCCAAGGCAGCAGCACCCCTGCCCCTGTCCCCTCCTCAAACTACTCCCACCCCATTGAAGATGTACCCATCTGTGTCTGCCTTCTCCCCTGGGCCTGGTATTAAGGAGGAGCCAGTGCCACTGAGCATCCTGCAGCCCCCCGCCCCGCAACCGCAACCGCAACCGCAACCGCAACCGCTGCCAGGGGTCCTATTGGCTCAGAGCTTCCCTGGCCAGGCTCCACCCCCACCTCCACCCCCGCCCCCGCCCCCCCTGCTGTGTGGCTCAGCCCCTGTGCTGGGCTACTCTAACCCTGCTGCAGGCTTCTCTACAGGTAAGCTGAGTGGCAGGAAGGCAGAGTGGACAGCCAGGGTCCCAGGAAGGAGCTAGGTTCTGGGAGAGGGATTTGCAGACTTTAGGAATTAAGTCTCCACTCTGCTGTTTGAGAGGCCCTTATGAGCAGTATTGCATTACAACTGACATTCAGGTAAACATTGACTACTTCTCTACCAGGGATGTCCACATCAGTGCTTCCCTTCAAAATGCAAATGTCTGGCTGGAGAACTGGCCCATGTGCATCAAAGTCCCAGGCAAAGGCTGTGCAGATGGGGAAACTAAGGTTCCAAGGAAAATCACCTCATGATAGGGACCTGAAAGAGTAGGTTTAAGGTGGGTTCAGACAGCTTATCCTTTAGCCTCATCCTTCTTTCTATAGGTATCCCTCCAGCGAGTGCCCAGCAGCTGCTGACTGGACAGTCACAGGCTTCCCTACCAGTGGCCTCACCTGGCTCCTTGCATACCCAGGTCCCAAGTGCAGCCTCCCAGCAGCTGCTGGCAGCCCCAGCTGCTGTCCCAGCCACCCCTGGAACAAACACTGTGGCTTCACAGATCCAGCAGGTCCCGGTGAGCAGATCTTGGCCTAGGGTCAGGGAGGAGACACTGTTCCTGGCCTGGACACATGCCTCAAGCCCCATCTCCCACCCCCAGGTCCTGCTTCAGCCTCACTTCATCAAGGCTGACTCACTGCTCCTGACAGCCATGAAGTCGGATGTGGGAGCCACCATGAAGACAACAGGGATTGCCTCGCTGGCCCCTGGTGCTGCTGTGCAGACTGGTTCCTTGCAGGTGGGTGACATGGGCAGGGTGGAGGGGTGTGGGGCTTGTACACATGCACATTGCCTGCTAACCTGTGCTGGTGTCTGCAGACTCTGGTGAGTGGCGGGACCATCTTGGCCACAGTACCGCTGGTGGTGGACACGGACAAGCTGCCCATCAACAGGCTAGCAGCCAATGGCAAGGCCCCAGGTGTGGCCCAGAGCCGTGGTGAGAAGCGCACGGCCCACAACGCCATCGAGAAGCGCTATCGCTCCTCCATCAATGACAAGATCATAGAGCTCAAGGACCTGGTGGTGGGCACCGAGGCAAAGGTGTGGGCAAGGGCTTGGTGACTAGGTGGGGATACAAACAGGTGATCAGGGTGGATAGGGTATTGGGGGCTAGAGGAAGAGAGGCTTGGGGCTGCACCCTAGATAAATGGGACTAGGATTCAACACCTCATGTAAACTTGATGGGGGGTGTCCTGTGCAGTAGGAGCTGTTTAAGACCATGGGGACACAACAGTGAATAAGACACACAAATTCTGCCCTTGAAAGCTGTGAACAGCTTGGACAGTAACCAGGACCAGTAAGTCAGTATGAGAGGAGACCAGATGAGGATGAGAGCAGGGGAAATGGATGTGAGAGTTCAGAGGTCTGAATCAGAGGGGGACTGGTCATGGAAGGCCTCACTAAGGTGATATGCAAAGACCTGGAGGAGGCAAGGGTGTGGGAATGCAGAAGGTAATAATTACAACTAGCCAAGCACTATTCTATGCATCTTATGTGTTAACTGCTGCCATCCTGGGAGGTAGGTGTGACTAGGGGAGAGGAAATCCATGTAGAAAAAACAGCAGAGGCCTTGAGGCAGCTGTGTTACAAAGCAGCCCTGCCCTCCTGTCCTCTCTCCTTCCCACCCCCTGCAGCTGAATAAATCAGCTGTCTTGCGCAAGGCCATCGACTATATCCGCTTTCTACAACATAGCAACCAGAAACTCAAACAGGAGAACCTGAGTCTTCGGACTGCTGCCCACAAGAACAGTGAGTTGTGGTCCTGCTCCCAGCCCAGCCTAGCCACCTCCCTCAGCCCTAGCCCTACCCTTGGCCCTACCTCTAGCTCTGGCCCCTCCTATGATCCTAATATGGCCTGTGCCCCAGCTTCCAGGGCCTCATGATCTAGGCCACTATTCCAGCCTTCTTCATTCAGGGCCCTGAGCTGATTCAGGTGGGGTGAGTAATGTGGGGTATCCATATTTCACCCCCAGCCCTGCTCTTTGCCCGACTACAGAATCTCTGAAGGATCTGGTATCCACCTGTGGCAGTGGGGGAAGCACAGATGTTCCCATGGAAGGCGTGAAACCAGAGGTGGTGGATGCACTGACCCCACCCCCCTCAGATGCTGGCTCACCCTCCCAGAGCAGCCCCCTGTCCCTTGGTAGCAGGGGCAGTGGTGGTGGCGGCAGTGACTCAGAGCCCGACACCCTCATCTTGGAGGACAGCCAGGTTGGGTCCTATGCCATTGCCCCTCTCCTCTCTCAGCTCCAGGCTGGGTCATACGGAGAGCCTGGCAAGATCTCGCCCCACATCCCACTTTACAGACAGAAATCTGAGGCCTGGAGCCAGGTGGGGTCCTGATGCCCCTACCTAGCCCCAAGGTCTCAGGGATCATTCTCACTCTACCCTCACTGCCCTGCCCTCCTCATCTACCAGGGGAAGCCTGAGCCGCCGCCCTCCTGTAGTCGAGGCCTACTGGATCGCTCCCGCCTGGCTCTGTGTGCCCTCATCTTTCTCTGTCTGTCGTGCAACCCCTTGGCCTCCCTGCTGGGTGGGCAGGGCCTTCTTGGCCCTCCAGATGCCACCAGTGTCTACCATGGTCATGGGCGCAACATGCTGGGCACCGAGGGCAGAGGTAGGGACAAGCCAGCCTGGACATCTTTGGGAGAGGCCTGGAGACTTGGGTGCTGCATTTCCTGGGAGGCATGCCCGCATCTCTGCCTTTTGCCCTTAGATGGCCTTGGCTGGGCCCATTGGCTGCTGCCCCCACTTTTGTGGCTGATTAATGGACTGTTGGTACTGGGCTCCTTAGCACTTCTCTTTGTCTACGGAGAGCCGGTCACACGGCCGCACTCGGGCCCTGCTGTGCACTTCTGGAGGCATCGCAAGCAAGCCGACCTGGACTTGGCCCGGGTGAGGGCTGGCCCCAAGACAGTAGGCAGGGAGGGGTCCAGGTGGCACTAGGTACTCATCCCTGGGAAGGAGTCACTCTTCTTGTCTTCTGCACTCTGTGCATGTTAGTTATCTGCCTTGTCCTCCCTACTCTTAACCTACTCCTGAGACCTCCCTGAGGCCCCAGTCGCCCAGCCCAGTGTTGCTAAGTGACCTGGAGCAAGCCCAGCATAAGGAGAGCCTGAGCCAAGGGACCTGCTGAGATAGTAAGGCTGTGTCCTTGGATGCTCTGCCTCCACCCTCTCACCCAGCAAACTCGTATTCCCAGGGGGACTTTGCTCAGGCTGCCCAGCAGCTGTGGCTAGCCCTTCAGGCTCTGGGCCGGCCTCTACCCACCTCCCACCTGGACCTGGCATGTAGCCTGCTCTGGAACCTCATCCGCCACCTGCTACAACATCTCTGGGTGGGCCGCTGGCTGGCCAGCCGGGCAGGAGGCCTGCAGAAGGATGGTTCCTTGCAGGCACATGCACATGCCAGTGCCCGAGATGCTGCCCTGGCCTACCATCAACTGCACCAGCTGCACACCATGGGTATGACTGGCTGTGAAATGGGGTGATGCCCCCCCCCCACCTCCCCAACTCCCTTCTCCACCCTGGCTCAGGGTCCTGCCTGTTCCCAGGGAAGTACACCAGTGGTGGGCATCTCGCTGCCATCAACCTGGCACTGGCTGCCCTGAATCTGGCTGAATGTGCGGGGGACATGGTGTCTGTGGTGACGCTGGCCGAGATCTATGTGGCAGCTGCCTTGAGGGTCAAGACCAGTCTCCCTCGGACCTTGCATTTCCTGACTGTGAGTGGGTGAGGGGTTGGTGGAGAGAAGGCTGCAAAAGACCTTGGCAGTTCTGACAGGTGGCTCTGTGACACAGAGCTGTCCAGGACAAGCTAGCTGTTACTGGGGTGGCAGGAGGGGGTTGGGGGAAATTTTATCTCAGCCCATTGTCTGGGTTTGAGCCCCTGCCTGGGTCCAGTGTGACAGCTCAGCTCCTCTCCCTCACAGCGCTTCTTCCTGAGCAGTGCCCGGCAGGCCTGCCTGGCAAAGAGTGGCTCTATGCCTCTTTCCATGCAGTGGCTCTGCCACCCTGTGGGGCACCGTTTCTTCGTGGATGGGGATTGGGCTGTGCACAGTGCCCCACGGGAGAGCCTGTATAGCTTGGCCGGGAACCCAGGTGCGCTCTCATTCCCATCCCTTGTCACCCATTGCTGTCCTTTGTCCCTTGTCCCACATCTCCATCCCTACCTCTGTCCTCCATCTTTGTCTCTTTTCCCCCATCTTTGTCCCTTGTCCCTCTATCCCTGTTCCTCATCCTTGCCACTTGCCCCATCTCTTATCCCTCATCCCTTGTCTTTCATCTCCATCCCTCACCCCCATCCCTTGTCCCTCATCCCCCATCCCCATTCTTTGTCCCCTATTCCTGTCCCTTGCTCCCATTCTCATCCCTCATCCCCCATATCTATCCCTTATCTCTTGTTCTGTATCTTTGTCTACTGTCCCCTATCTCCATCCCTAATCCCTATCTCCCATCTTTATCCCTTGTCCCTATCCTTGTCCCTTATACCCATGTGTCTCATCTCATGTCCCTCATTCCCCTGTCCCTTGTCCTCCATTCTTCATGTTTGTTCCCATCCATGCCCCTGTTCTTTGTCCCTCCATCCCTGTCTCTCATCCTCACCCTTCATCCTTGTCTCTTGTCCCATGTCTCTTATCCCTGTCTCATCCCTTGTCCTCTAACCTCATCCTTTGTTCCTTATCCCACCTTTTGTCCCTCCCTCTTGTCCTCATCCCTGACCCCCATCCCCCATCGTTATACCTTGTCTCTCATCCCACCCCTTGTCCCCATTTCTTATCCTCCCTGTTCTCTGCCCTCATCCCTTATTCCCATTCCTGTTTGTCAACCTTCATCTCTGTTTCTTCACCTTGTCCCTCATCCCTGGCATCTTAGGGTGTCCCTGCCATTCCTTCCATCCCTACCTCATGTGTTATGGCTGAAGGGGGTCTTAGTGCACCGTAGAAGCAAACCTGGAGACAAGGGTTGGAGGTCATTTGTTTATTTGGGAATTGGGCCTAGAAGCATGAAGTGGAATGAGGAAGTGAGACCGGGAGGGGGAACCAAGATGACTGTTGAGGAGGAAGGATTAGGATTCCGTTTTGTGGGGGCCTCTTGGAGAGGTATAGAGTGCTTCAGTGGTATCTTGTACAAGAGGAGAGGTGGGGGGTGTATCTGTCAACTCCTGACTGTCACTGGCCATTTTGGAGTGTAGGTCAAGCCCCCCATGTGCCCAGGTGAAAGCCTGGCTATCTTGAGGTAAAAGTGGGCACCAGTGATCTGCTGTGCACTGTCCCTCACCCTCACCTTTCCTCTTCATCCCCAGCGGACCCCCTGGCCCAGGTGACTCAGCTATTCCGAGAACATCTCCTGGAACGAGCTCTGAACTGTGTGGCCCAGCCCAATCCCAGCCCTGGATCAGCTGATGGGGACCGGTGAGTCTCCTTTCCCCTCCCCAGGCGAGACTCCTCTACCTGGGGTCTGGGAGTAGCTGTATCCAGGGGAATGTGTATGTGGCCTGAGTCCAGCCACTGCCTGCTGGCTGTATATCCTCAGCTGTGGTCTCTGCTCCTATCTGTCTGTTTCCTTACCAGCAGGCAGGAGGAGATGGTGGAGGACGGGGAGGGACTCCTGCTGCCTATCCTCACAGCCAGCCTTCTCCTACCACAGGGAATTCTCAGATGCCCTTGGGTACCTGCAGCTGCTCAACAGCTGTTCTGACGCCACCGGGGCTCCTGCTTGCAGCTTCTCTATCAGCCCCAGTGAGGCTGCCAGCCCTGGTGAGCCCTCAGCCTCTGCCTGACATTTCCTGCTCAACCTGAGCCCCTGCCCCCTCATAGAGGGTACAGTGTTGCAGAGGGCTTAGGAGGGCTCTGTGATGGTGGGGAGAGATGCTGGCCAGTATGGGGCCTCCCTTCAGAACCCCTCACTCCTCTGCAGGCACTGACCCCGTGGCTAAGTGGTGGGCATCACTGGCAGCTGTGGCAATCCACTGGCTGCGGCGGGATGAGGAGGCAGCTGAGCGGCTGTGCCCACTGGTGGAGCGCCTGCCCCGTGCCCTGCAGGAGTCTGAGTAAGTGCTGTGGCTGCCCCTGCCCTGCTGCTTGTCATAAACCCCATGTGGTAGGGTCTGCCTCCCTTTCTTCCTGGGCAGTTGTGGGCTAATTGAGGGCTTGGGGCCCGGCCTGACCATTTCTCTTCTCTTGGCCCACAGGAAAACCCTACCCAAGGCGGCCCTGCATGCCTTCAAGGCTGCCCGGGCCCTACTGGGCCGCAGTAAGGCAGAATCTGGGCCAGCCAGCCTGGCCTTCTGTGAGAAGGCCAGTGGGCACTTGCGGGACAGCCTGGCCACCATGCCAGCTAGCAGCTCCATTGACAAGGTGAGGGATGGGGCCAGGGGCCTGGCAGGTCTAGTATCATGGCCTTCCCATAGGCGACAGGATTAGCCCAAGTGGCACAGGACTGGGGGTGTCTAGCTGCCTTTGCTTTTTGTCTAAGTCTTGGGTTATGGGTTTAAGGGAAAGGGCTACTGCTGCCTGGCCTCAGTGTCCCCACCACAGGTAGCAGGCGTGGGGGCCTGGAAAGGCGGGCGGCCCCGAGGTGCATTGCTGTTGCATTGCATGTGTGTTTGGCGGGTGCAGTGCTTCAGCAGTGCAGCCCGGGGCCAGCCCCTGGCGCTGAGGCCCCCCACCTCACTGTGCTCCCAGCTGGGCCCTCCTGACCCTGCCTTGTCCACCCCCCTCAGGCTGTGCAGCTACTCCTGTGTGACCTGCTTCTCGTGGCACGCACATGCCTGTGGCAGCAGCAGCAGCCACTGGCACCAGCTCAGCCCTCTGCAGGGGTAGGTGGTCAGCCCCAGGCTTCAGCCCTGGCACTGCGTGGCTTCCAGCAGGACCTGAGCAGCCTGCGGCGATTGGCACAGAGCTTCCGGCCTGCCATGCGGCGTGTGAGTGCTGGTACTCTCGCCTGATGATGGGGGTGGGAAGGTTGGCTGCAGCTGAATCCTGACTCTCCAAGTGCCTGCCTATCCAGGTGTTCCTACATGAAGCAACAGCCCGGGTGATGGCAGGGGCCAGCCCCACACGGACCCACCAGCTCCTGGACCGCAGTCTGAGGCGGCGGGCTGGCCTGGGTGGCAAGGGAGGTAAGTGGTGCCATGAGGGGGTTGTGTATGTGTGGAGTCCCTCAGCCTGAAACCCTTCTCCTGGAGGGATGAGACAAAAGGGTCTTACAGATGGGCATCTGACATCTATGTTCAAGGCAGCAGGCCCTGAGGCAGGCTGGGGAGGGACCTGTGAACCCCATGGGGCCTGGGAGAACCATACTGGGGTCAGGGCTTGTGCCTCTGGTCAGGTGGGCCCTACTACCCTGCTTCTGATGCGGCTTGCTTGGGCTGGGACCCACCCTGACTCGGGTCTTTTGCACAGGTGCAGTGGAGGAGCTGGAGCCTCGGCCCACAAGGCGGGAGCACGCTGAGGCCCTGTTGTTGGCCTCCTGCTACCTGCCACCAGGCTTTCTGTCTGCGCCTGGGCAGCGCATGGGCATGCTGGCTGAGGCGGCACGCACTCTTGAGAAGATCGGAGACCGCCGGCTGTTGCACGACTGCCAACAGATGCTCTTGCGCCTGGGCGGCGGGACCACCGTCACTTCCAGCTAGATCCTGGAGGCGGTGGCATAGACCTCCTGTGGTGGAGTCTCTCAGAGAGGTGGCTCAGGTGACCCTGGTCTATTTCTAAGGGTTCACTCCAGCCTGCACTGTGTCTTGGGGGATGGGAGGCCTGCGAGGATATTATCTCTGGCCTGGGAGAGGGTGTGACCCTACCACCCAAACTGCTCCCCAACAGGAAGTGGCAGTAAGTGATGACCTCTGGTGGCCATTCTAGGGGTTGCAGGGGCCCAGGGCAGGGAGCCACTTACCACTCTTTGCTCACCAGACACTAGGATGCCTCCTTTCCTCTCCTCTCTAGAGGAAGAGGCATCAACTGGGCTGTCCTGGCCAGCAGTGCTCCCCTCCTCCTTCTGGGAGACTTGTAAATAGTGTAGATCAGGGTGGGTCTGCCTCCTGGCCTCGGAGGCTCACATGCTACTTTGCCCTTTGCAGACTTTATTTTCATAGGCTGAGAACTTTTGTACAGAGAATAAAAAATGTAATTATTTATAACTTGAGTTTGGGGTGTGTGCTTTAGCTCATTATAGGCATGCCAACCAGTAGGGGTCCTTTGGGTAATCCTTTCCCCAGTATCTAAGCAAAGGCTTCTCGTCCTCCTAGGGTCAGTGGAGGCTCTTTTCCTTATTTCATATTACGAGTCCTGGCTGTGTGACCTACAGTTGGTCCTGCCCCATGAACCTCTGGGCCACATCTTTGGACTATACCAACCTCTGACTCTTAAGGCCTTGGTGATCTCAGCTGTCCCTATCCACCTCCCAGCTTCAGTCCCCGTCAGGTCTGGGGTGACATAGAAGGATAGACTCAGTGTTCCCGAGGGTTTTGGCTTGGCAGAAGCAGCTACAGCATGGGTCTTCTTTTGTCTGGATGTCAAGTCTTACCCTCCCTCCCTAAATGTTCCTGATTATATCCTCACACTGGGAGAATGTTATACCACCATCACATTGGGACCTGAGGCCACATAGGGGGATGATGTGGTAGCAGGGGCCTGTTCCCTGCTCCTACAAGACCATCATAAGTTCCCCATTCCCCTTTGTGCCCCCCTGAGCCCTTCCCTCCACTCTACCCCCACGTTAACGCCTGGCCCCTCTCCGAGGGGAATCTGGTCAGAAGCCACGGGCTGCAGGCTGCAGACTTCCAAAACAATCGTCGTATCTTTATTGACTTTTTTTTTTTCTGAATGCAATGACTGTTTTTTTACTCTTAAGGAAAATAAACATCTTTTAGAAACAGCTCGATACACACAATCTTCAGTGTGAAGCAATATACTAATAAGAACACTAGTCGTCTTAACATTTACAGTCTTCATATATATTATATATATGTATATGTATACATATATATACACTATATAACGAGGCCAGATATAATACACACGTTTACCATTTTACAGTCATATATACAAGAGTTTGCTAGGGTGGCCTGGTCTGGGAGCTGCATCAGACCTATCGAAGCATAGACAGAACTGAGGACACAGACGGACAGGCGGACAGACTGGCAGGGACTGACCCAGGCCGGTGTTGGCTGTATAGGGGAGGACATCACAGTAGTCCCATCCCCATCAAGGGCCCGGTTGGGGCTTTGTGCTGCAGGGCACACAACGCACAGCGGTGACACACGGGAGAAGCGAGCATGTTCCCAACATATATACATTCTATGTAACATATATATAGAGGGGTACACAGGTTTTGTACACAAATCTAGTGCTGTCCCTGCTCCCGTGCTGAGTGGGTGCTGCGGTCCCCAGAGACGGCAGTTGTGCAAAGGGACGATGGTGCATCCGCCAAAGTTGTGCTCTGGCAGTGTCTCCTTTCCTTTCGCGCTCCTAGGCTGGGCTTCAGGGGTAGAGTGGAAGAGTGGGAAAAGGACCAACAGAAGAAGCCAAAGGGGTACCCCAGTCCAGCCCCACGCAGGAGCCAGCTTCCCCTGAGCACGGGTGCTGGGCTCCCCTGGGCCTACCCAAACTGCATGAAAGCTTGGGCAGAGCCTGGGTGGGAAGGGCGCTTTCTGGTTTGTTTCAGAGGCTCTGGCCCCCTCCCTGCTGGCCTAGTGCTCTCTGAAAGGCTCTGGCCTCCCTTCATCTCGGCTCATGGAGCCAGGAGCCGTCCTCTGTGGCCTTAGGGCCCCTTGAGCCCCCTAGTGCGCCTAGCTGCATGCCTCAGCCCACTGGGATCATGTGGTATGTTGTGTCAGAACTCCTGGAGAAAGGTGCATCCCCAGGCTACAGCCATCTCCCACACCCACTGGAGTTTGGGTGCCTCAAGGAGTCTGGCTGCTCCATGGGCTCCCCTCTGAGCCTGGCTATGGGGTAATGGGCCAGAGTGCTCCCTTCAGTCTGGTTCTGGAGGCAGGTGGCTTCAGAAGGGTTTTTCTGCCCAACTCGGGGCCACAAGTCTCAGCCCAGGCGGCCGGATCCAAGATCCAGAATCCAGATCTGGATCAGGGTAGGCTCCAGAGCCCTCAGGAAGCTCTTTTCCTTCATCCATGGGTTGTTGGCTCCGCCCAGCCATTGAGGGTGGTTACAACGGCAGCCTCTGCAAGAGAAGGGGAGATACCCCACAGCCTGTTACTTCTGAGTGCTATGTCACTGGCATTTCAAATACCAGCAGGGTCACCCATGGTGGAGTTTCCAGATGAAAAGAGACTAGGAAGACCTGGGAATCTACTTCTAAAAAAAGTGGTCAGTGAAAACCTTATGAATAGCAGCAGAACACTAATACAGAGCCAGAAGATGAGCCCCTCAAGTTGGAAGGCACTCAAACAGCTGCAAACATCCATTCGTAATTGGAATGTGGAAGATATGAAGTATGAATCTAGGAAAACTGAAATTGTCAAAAAATGAAGTGGAATGCTTGTAGATAGATACCCTAGGCATTAGTGAGCTGATAGTGACTGGTATTGGCCATTTTGAATCAGACAATCATATGGTCTTCTATGCTGGGAGTGACAAATTGAAGAGGAATGGTATTGCATTCATTGTGAAAAAGACTATTTCAAGATGTATCCTGAAGAATGATGCTGTCAGTGATCGGATAATATCCATATGCCTACAAGGAAGACAAATTAATGTAACTACTACACAAATTTACCAACCACTAATACCAAAGATGAAGAAATTTATGATTTTTACCAACTTTTACAGTCTGAAATTGATCAAACATGGAGTCAAGATGTGTTGATAATTACCGGTGACTGGAATACGAAAGCTGGAAACAAGAAAGATTTGTAGTTGGAAAATATGGCCTTGGTGATAAAAATGACGCCAGAGATTGCATCATAGAATTTTGCAAGACCAATGAACTATTCATTGGAAGTTCTTTTTTTCAACAACGTACAGCGACTACACACGTGGACCTTGCCAAATGAAAAACACAGGAATCAAATCAATTACATGTGTGGAAAGAGACATTAGGGAAGCTCAATAGCATCAGTCAGTACAAGGCCAGGGGCTGACTGTGGAACAGACCATCACCTGCTCATAAGAAGTTTTAATATAAAACTGAAGAAAATTTAAACAAGCCATGAGAGCCAAAGTACAAGCTTTAGTATATCCCACCCAAATTTAGATACCATCTCAAGAACAGATTTGATACATTAAACACTTAATGACTGAAGACAAGCTGTAGGATGACATCAAGGACATCATACATGAGGAAAGCAAACGATCATTAAAAAGACAATGAAGAAAGGAAAAGACCAAAATGGATGTCAGTGTTGACTGAAACTTGCTACTGAATGTAAAGTAGCTAAAGCAAATGGAAGAAATGATGAAGTAAAAGAGCTGAACAAAAGACTTCAGAGGGTGGCTCAAGAAGACAAAGTAAAGTATTATAATGAAATTATAACATGGAGTTAGAAAACCACAAAAGAACAACACACTAGGCATTTCTCAAGCTGAAAGAACTGAGAAAAAATTTAAGCCTCAAGTTGCAATACTGAAGGAATCCATGGGCAAAATATTGAACGATACAGGAAACATCAAAAGAAGATGGAAGGCATATACAGAATCACTGCACCAAAAAGAATTGGTCAAAGTTCAACCATTTTAGGAAGTAGCATATCAAGAACCAAAGGTACTGAAGGAAGAAGTCCAACCTGCACTGAAGGCACTGGCTAAAAACAAGCCTCCAGGAATTGATGGAATGTCAGTTGAAATGTTTCAACAAATGGATGCACTGGAAGCGCTCACTCATTTATGCCAAGAAATTTGGAAGACAGCTACCTGGCCAACCAACCAGAAGAGATCCATATTTGTGCCCATTTCAAGAAAGGTTATCCAACAGAACAATGTCATTACTATCACAAGTAAAATTTTGCTGAAGATAATTAAAAACTGGTTGCAGCAGTATATCGACAGGGTCCTGTAAGAAATTCAAGCTGGATTCAGAAGAGGAAGTGGAATGAGGAATATCATTGCTGATGTCAGATGGATCTTGGCGTAAAGCAGAGAATATCAGAAAGATGTTTACTTGTGTTTTATTGACTAAGCAAAGGCATTTGACTGTGTGTTAATTTCATAACAAATTATAAACAACATTGAGAAGAATGGGAATTCAATTCCAGAACTCTTAATTGTGCTCATACGGGGTCGACCTGTACATACACCAAGAGGCAGTTGTTTGAACAAAAACACGAGCTACTACATGGTTTAAAATCAGGAAGGGTGTGTATCAGGGTTGTATCCTTTTATCATACTAATTCAATCTGTATGCTATAACTGGAGCAAATAATCCTAGAAGCTGGATATGAAGAACACAGAATTAGGGTTGGAGAGACACTCATTAACAACTTGTGATATGTAGATGACACAACTTTGCTTGCTGAAAGTGAACTTGAAGCACTTACTGATGAAAATTGTACACTACAGCCTTCAGTATTGATTATACTTAACCATAAAGAAAACAAAAATCCTCACAACTGGACCAATAAGCAACATCATGATAAATGGAGAAAAGATTGAAATAGTCAAGGATTTCATTTTACTTGGATCC